TCATGTGAAGAAAGATATACCCAATTGGAAACCATCTGACAGCTTCGTAATACTTCGGTGTTAGAATATATAGTATGGATGTTTTACATCCCCCCAAGATGCCGCAGTGTTTATGCCGCGTGAACTGTTACTGTCGGTTTGTGCTGTCTTTCCGACTTTGTTTTTCCCTAATTGAAAAAAACCCAACAACTTCTATGAATAAGCTAACCCTCACGCATGACGTCACTGCTACCCAAAAGTGAATGGTGAAATGGTATAGGTTTAACGCCCCTATCAACACTATTAGGTTATTTAAGAGACCCAAAAGTAAGCTTGCCGAGATTGGAGACCGACCCAAGAGCCATGTAGTTAGCCAGGTAGGTTTCGCATGGAGAGCTCAACTTAACTTTTACAAAATAGCCCAATAAACATCTGGTTTTGTCATACCGGACAATCGGTGTCTGCTGTGTTGCAGTTGGACGCTTTGCCATCGGACACAAAAGACCTGAGTTCAATTTTCTAATGGGGAGAACTTTTGTCGAGTACATTGGTTTTTCGGTCTTTCTGCAAGGCACTCAGGCTATAAAGGAAGAGACAGGCCACACAAAAGACCCTAATAAAACATAACATCACAACTGAAAGAGCTGCGGAGCTAGCCTACTATAGAAAACTGCATCTCCCCTCGACGCTTAACGGCAACCGAGGATGAAAAAGTAAAAGTAAAGTTAGTAAGTCTGCTAGGATGTTGTATCCCTCTCATTACAGCTTGGCCCTTAAATGAACTAATTTGTGTCGATGAGGTGTAAACGCCCGAATTTTGAAGAAAAAGAAGGGATGAATGACCTGCTACATAGGGTATCAAATTATGTAGACAAACAAATCAGCCAACAAACAAACCAAAAGAAACCCCAAAGAAACTAGCAGACAAACAAACAAACAAACAAACAAACAAACAAATAAATATACACCAACAGATGGTCAATTTCATACCGGCAGCCGTCATCGGAATCCTGTTCCCGTACTGGTCTCTCTTGGTCCGCTCAGAGCTGTGACCCCCATAGTTGGAGCCAGACATGGACCCGCCCGTATGAGAGCCATGGGAGTGGGAGTGCCCATGTGACGAGTGAGGGGGGTGGTCAGAATGCTGAAAACGGTTAAATATTTATTCTTTGGCTCTTGTCTTTTGACCCTCAAATTATGAATACAACAAATTAGTTAGTTGAATTAGGTTACTAAGATGAAAATTGCTGACGTTACAACAATTAGCTGATAGTTAAATATTTTGATGTAGCAATGCTGTGATGTAACAATACACTGATGAAAGAGAAACATAGTAAACTGAGGAGAAAGACGTATGTCTCTCTTTGCATTCCTCGACCATTACTGCAAACACACCACATCCTTATTTAAAGCACAATAGAATGTACCTTAAGTTTGGGTGTTCTTGACTCTTACTTTAAATTGAAGAACTTTAGAACCTTTCTTTAAGTGCTCTTGACCCTTAATTTAAATACACGCCACTCTTCCTTCAAATACTCTAAAGTCTTACTTAAAACTCCCTAGACCCTTACTTTTTAAACATTTTACATCTTTGCTTTAAGAATAGGCCCAGGACGTTGTCTCACTAACAAGGCAATCACCAATGTCCGAATCGGATGTGGGAACAGCTTTACTTTACTTTAAGAACCCTAGACCTTTTCATTAAACTCTCTAGACCCTTACTTTATTCATTGTAAATTTTTAAACATTCTAGATCCTTACTTCAAACACTCTAGGCCCTGACTCTTAGCACTTTTGACCCTTTTTAGACCCTTACTTCAAATACTTTAGACCCTTACGTCAAACACTCTACCCCTTAATTTAAACACTAGACCCTTACTTTAAACACCGTAAACCCTTACTTCAAAAACCTTAGACCCTTACTATAAATACTCTAGACCCTTACTCCGAACACCCTAACCCATACTTTAAGCATTGTACACCCATAGTTCAAACAGTCTAGACACAGGCTTTAAGCACTCCAGGACTTATTTCAAACACTCTAGACCCTTACTATTGGCATACACCTTTACTTTAAGCACTTTAGACCTTACTTCAAACACTTTGGACCCTTACTTTAAGCTGCGACAGACCCTTACTTCAACCATTTTGGACCCCTACTTTAAACCTTTAAACACTCTAGACCATTACTTCAAACATTTCGGACCCTTACTTTAAGCTGAGGCAGTGTGCCGCCCCCCGAGTCTCCGTCCCCGGCGTGTTTGCCGTGCGGGTGTCTGGAGTCCGCGCCGTGCAGGTGGGGGAAGGTGGTGGTGGGCGCTACTGCTGCGACCAGCTTGTTCTGGGGACGGGGGGG